CCTTAAGTCCGTGGACACAAATAATTCCATTCCACTTACATCCATCAAACCAAATATCCTCAAAATAGTATTACATGCATGCACAGCCAAAGCCCCCTTCTACAACCATAATGGCAACATCTACACCAATATTAATGGTGTTAGCATGGGAAATCCGCTCGGCCCGTGCTTCTTCAATTATTATATGTTCCACGTAGAAAACAAAAAAAACTCGTCACTAAACCCAAAGTATATGTCTGCTGCGTTGGCGATATTTTTATTTTAACGAAAAGCAAACAAGAAATAGATAATCTAAAAACCACATTAAAAAAAATTCTGTCCTTAACTTCACCTATCAACTTAGTCAAAAAGTAAACTCCCATTCATAGACGTTGCTTGTAGAATACATTAATAACACTTTCATCACCTCATTATATAACAAAAACCCACTAGCAGAAACTTGCCTCCTTAATTTTAAGAGTGAATGCCGACTTAGATATAAAATAGCAGTTATAAAGAAATCCTAGAGAGCACACGAGAATTCATCTTCTCGTCTATTCTTCCTTAAAGAACTCAATAATGCAAAACACACACTAGTTAACAGTGGTTTTTCGAACTACCTCATCGACCACAAGATTAGTCTATTTCTTTCCAAAGTAACTAATAACGATACTGAACATACAGACAAAAACAATAACATTAGCATCTACAAAAGTCAAATACACGCCAACTATAGACAAGATGAATGTTCACTTAGAAATATCATAAAGGAATACACTAACCGAGTCGACTCGAACAAGAAAATTAAATTATCTATTACAAATAATTAAAACAGCTAACCTTATCATAAAAAATAACAACACACCTGAAAAATCAAAACTACAAAGAACCAACATTATCTACGAGTTCAAATACCCCTTAAGGAACTAAGTTCCTGATCAAACCAAACTCATAAATAATTACAAGTTACATTACTACATGCCTATCCAGACGACTTACGCTAGACCTATCCGACCACAGCTCCATGAGGACTCATTTAAGCACACATAAAAATCTACCAGACACCATCCGAAACATACTAGTATAAAATACAAGCATAATAACTTCATCCAAAATGATGGAAGCCCTAATGATAAAAAAGAAAAAGATCACACTCAATAACATTAACTATGAACACCGCCACAATGTGCTGACCATGTTTTGAAAATAAATCCTTCCTATAATTTTAGATACATACATAACACAACCCATACATTCAGTTAAAAAGTAAAATGCGCTCGGATATGCAGAATTTTTGGACAATTTTACCCGCTTTGTGCTCAGAAAAGAAAACGTTTGTACGAAAACAAAAATAATTAAATAAAAAGCTTAATCGCAGTTCTTGTCAGTCGTCTTTAACGAAACACACACACACACACACACACACACATATATATATATATATATATATATTCGTTCAATTTTTCTTGTGTTCGTATAAGTGATTTCTTTTTCTGGACATAAAGTGCGTGAAAACTGTCCGAATGTTCTATATATCGGCTTGCTTTCGGGTATTCTACTATCAAGGATATAACTTTATTTTAAATGAATGTATAGATTTTTTTAGAATTATTCTGAAGTGATGGGATTATTTTTTATTCTTTTTTTAAAACACGGTCAGTACATTGTGGCCGTGTTCATATTTGATGTTATTGAGTGTTGGCTTTTTCTTTTTTATTAACGCTTCCATTATTTTTAGCCCTTTTTTTTACATGTGAATGAGGCTATTATATTTATATTTTCTATGGGTATTTTGCGGATATATGTAAGCTGCTAGTCTGTTTTATTTCTCAAAACGTTTGCCGACACTTGATCTAATGGCACCGTAACATACAAAGATGTTACTATCAACTGCTTGATAGTAGGGATTTTTCAGTGTTCCCACGTAGCAACCGAATGTGACCCAAGGTCGAGTGTCGGTTTTTCTCAAGCCTCCTCAGCACTTTCCCTTTTGGAGACGCCTCATGCGCCGGATAATGATCCCAGCACCCCGTATTGCATGAAGGATGACCCATTGGTGTTTGAGGTAATATTATTTTCAACTTCCCCACAACTGGACAAGGTAAGTATATGAACAGCTTGATAGTATTGTTATGAATAATCAAGAGTGGTCTCCCCTTGTTTTGTTACTCTTCTCTTTGAGGGGAACTATTTCTGTTTACTGGGATTATAGAAGGACACTATACGCGAACCTTGTATTCTCAGTTGAATAAGCTTTCTTAAAGCCTATACCTGTATACATTTTGTGATTACAAGTATATAAACGCTATATATTAATGTAATTAACTAAGATATTGATTTTCAAGTCGATTGGTTAACAGATATTCACTAAACTAAGGTTAATTCGGCACAGATAGAATAAAAACGAAAGGAGATTGCCTGTATTTCAGCATTTTAAGTCTTGGTTTTCGTCTGGGCTCGAAAACTGACAGTCGGAAACACGATGCGGTGTGCGAAATATCCGATGGGAACTCGAGATATGGAAACATCGACCTATAAGTTCATATGGATAGCACCTAGTAGATCGAACACGCTTTGTAAAAGAATCTACTCAGCCACCCTTTTACTAAAAGTACTGATCACAAAAGTTAACAACAGAAATCCGTACTGTATTTCGTTCAGGCGAACTTTTCAAATGAAGCGAACTTTTGGAAAGTGTATAAAATTCTGTTTTTCTCATTCTGTCACGCACATGCATGTAAAAAAAAAAAGACCCATGTGTAGTCACATGTCAATAAATTCTTTTTTTTTTTTTTTGACTTGGTGTAATAAAACTCGGGTATACGAAACACGTTTTAAAAATTTAGACAGTATTGACATACGTCGACACATTAAAACATCACAAAAAGAGAGAACTAACTGAGAGACAGGAAGACGTTGTCAGTTCTATGTCAACATAAGAAGAAAACGTCTAGAATTTCTTCCATTACAAGTTAGTTGTTTTACTGCAGCTATCTCTATGTCTGCTCCTTCCTATCTATCTATCTATCTATCTATCTATCTATCTATCTATCTATGTCTAGCTACGACTATATCTATCTATCTATTTATCTATCTATCTATCTATCTCTGTCTAGCAACGACTATATCTATCTATCTATGTCTGTCTAGCAACGACTATATCTATCTATCTATCTATCTATCTATCTATCTATCTATCTATCTATTTCCGTCTGTCTGTCAGCCTTTTTATAACTATCTATCTATATGGGAGCGCGAAATGGTTCCTACGATGATACCCATGTTCGAACCTCACCATTGTCGATTTGACCTGCAGGTAATGTCTTGAAGTTATAGGTGTGAGGTACCATTGGAACGTGCCTAAAAACCATAGCAAGAATTGATCCAATCACTGTGAGTGTAACAGGGTAGGTAAAACTTCGGAAGCCGTCGATAGATGAGATATCATGAATGCATCGTGGCCGATAGTTTGAGCCTACTTGCCTAGTTCAATTTATCCTCACGCTTGATTCTGGGTTCTATCCAAGACGTTGTAACTAAAGTCTGATTGCTTTATAAACCACAGGTTGTCTGTGTGTGTGTGTGGGGGGGCTTAAAATTACTCAAAATGTGCTCGCAACAGGGATTAGATAGCCGCCATAGCAGACGTACTTGGAAATGTAACCAACACTCAAAGGGATTTTCAGTGATTCTTACGACAGATGGAGTCAAGATGACTAAACGTCTTATCTAAAACCTGGAAAAAAAGAAACTCAGTTCAGTGTTTCTTTTACATATTAAACATTTTGTGGGATGGGCAATTGTCCCATGCTGTTACACGATTTGGACAATTTTGCTGTTACATCAGGTAAAGAAAGAGAACATGTTAAAATCGTTTTGTGTCATTCCCAGTATGTCTTCCCAACTGAGCAATGGCGAGACGAAAAAGATCATTTAGGCTTTCAGTAATGGTACCAACATTCCACTTTCAAAGTTCATTCAAGAACCATCAAGAGAACCGTGGATAAGCTTTAAAATGAGGGAGAAGTAGAGGGGGAAAACTGGATAAGGAGGTCACAACAGCAAGAGGGAACATCATTTCAATTTGGTGCTAAATACATACTTATTGTTCAAAGTAGAGTCCAATAGACCTCGAAGAAATCCAGTGAGATATCTTTAATAATTTGTAACGGTTCAAATCTTAATCTAACAATTGTACAATTTTGCTGTTACACGATTTAGACAATTTTGCTGTTACACTCGGTAACTGGCAGATATATTCATATCAATAATTCATCATATATATATATATATATATATATAAATTAATTGATTTAAAATATGTTTTTTTTCGCTACACAGATATCTTACTGTTCTTTCTTTTATATATATATATATATATATATATATATATATATATATTCGACTCTCCCGTCGAATTCGACGTATGAGGAAAAAGGACATATATATATATATATATATATATATATATATATATATATATATATATATATATATATATATATATATATATATATATATATATATATATATATATATATATATATATATATATAATTTGAGCAAATCAACTGCTCCTCAAGTTTTACACTATTCACTTTGTTCGGACAGTTGTCCTAGTCTTTGTTGCCATCTGCACGACGTTTCGGTCGTTGTACGCTCAGGCCTCCTTCAGGTGATGAGAAATTCGAACTGAAAATTATTTCTTTCAGCGAGGTGAATTGTTATAGTTCCAAATGCCATTTCTCTTTGGGAGGTACTAAAACACACACTGCCCATTTGGTATGATCCAGTAATTTGAAAAGATGTGAAAAGATGTAGAATGAAAAAAATGAAAGAAAACGTAAGCGAACAAGACGGAGATGAGAAAAGAAGCGAAAAGGTGGAGAGTGCAGAAAAGTGAAAGGAGAGGAAAAAGAAGGAATATATACGGGAAAAGAGAGAGCTTAGAAAAGAAACGTAAAGGCGAAGAGTGCAAAAAACTGGAAAAAGAAGGAAAACTTAAGCGAAAAAGAGGCTCTTCAGCCTCTTTTTCGCTTAAGTAAGAAAAGAAGTGAAATGGTGAAAACTTCAGAAAACTGAAAAAGTTCAGAGAAAAAAACAAAGAAAACTTTAGCGAAAAAGACGGAGATGAGAAAAGAAGCGAAAAGGTGGAGAGTGCAGAAAACTAAATCATTTGTGAGAATAAAGAAGGAAAACTTAAGCGAAAATGAAGGACATGAAAAATGAAGGAAAAGGTGGACAGAACAGAAAACTGAAAAAGTTGTAAGGAAAGAAAAAAGTATAAGCGGAAAGAGGCAGATGAGTAAAGAATCGAAAAGGCGGAGTGTGCAGAAAACTAAAAAAAATTAGTGAAAAATGAAGGAAAACTTAAGCGTAAAAGAGGGCGATGAGAAAAAAGTGAAAAGGTGAAAATTGCAGAAAAGCGACAGAGACGAAAAAGAAAGAAAAAAGTAAAGGAAAAAAAATGAGTTTTGAAAAAAAGCGTAAAGGTGGAGAGTGCAAATAACTGGAAGAATAGAAGAGAAAAATAAGGAAAACTTAAGCGAAAATGAGGGAGATGAGAAAAGAAGCGAAAAGTTGAAGAGTGCAGAAAAATGAAAGAATAGAGGGGAAAAGGAAGGAAAACTGAGGCCAAAAAGATGGAGATGAGAAAAGAAACGAAAAGGTGGAAAGTGCAGAAAACTGAAAAAACTTGAGAGAAAAAAAGGAAAACTGATGCGAAAAAGAGGGTGATGGGAATAGAGGCGAAAAGATGGAGAGTGCAGAAAAGAGAAAGAATGGCGAGTAAAAAGAGAGAAAAGGAAAGCGAGGAAAGAAAAATGGGTATAAAGTGGTTGTATTAATATGGGGGGGGGAAGTAGAAAGCAATGATTTAAGCTGTGAGTAGGGACAATCGAAATATAGAATTAAATAGAGAGTAAAGAGGAAAGAAAGAAAAGCTTGTTAAAAACAGTGAGAGTGATAATGAGATATTGTTTGAACCCCAAATGTTGCAGTTAGTAGAATTTTAAATAGTGATGCAGTTTTTGCATCTTTAAAATCATTTCCTTAATGTGCCTTCAAGTTTTTGCTACCAATTTGTTTTTTATTTCGGTGTGTGCGTTTTTTGAAAGAAAAGATATTTGTTGAAAATTCACAATATCGTTAAAGAAAGAAAACAATTGAGTGGGAGCCAGAAATAGAGCAGAATAAAAAGAAAATGCAAAAATAAAATTAAAAAAAATAAATGAAACTGAAGAAGAAAATATATAACCAGGAATAAGGGTAGAAACTGATACGAAAATGTGTCTTTGATATGGGCGACATGATACACTTGTCTGATGTATAGAAAGAGCTGTCGGCTGTTGCCAATGAACTGAAATGTCTAAACGGCCCCACTTGCTCCCACTTCACATTCCCAGTTTCTAAATCCGATATTAAAACCATAGCTGTTAGACAGCCATTTTTCCTCGAGCGACCTCTACCTCGTTGACGAAGGTAGAGATAGCCGCAGCTGCCGATTAGATTATTATCCTCTGGCTACACGTAACCAAAATTAAACCATATACAAACTTAATTTACATTCTTTAGTTATTACGTCTTCTTTATCCTCATATTAAAAAAAAAACAATACCTCTTTTCATTTGTTCTTTGCTTGCAGTGATGAATTGAGAGTCCCAGCACCACAAGTAGCCATAGTGTATAAAACAGGTGAACTTAAGTTTACAGTACGCCTACTTCAACCCGTAGGCCACAGCTGCTAGCCAGCAGCCTCTAATTGGGCAAAACAGATATTTACAATCGCGGCAACGTAATCATCACACACGCAAATTGAATTTGCTTGTGAAATATGCTAGTAGTGTGGGTCGGGTACATGGGTATTCCTCTTAACCTGCACGTAAGTGGACCGCGATTGTCTGGTAATTCCAGTAAAGAGGAGTCATGTAATCCGTTGCGTTGAAGGAGGTTTTAATGAAAGAATAAAACCGATCGTAAAAGAAATCGGTTCATTACAATGCTAGTGCTTTAGAATGATCGCTAGCCATCAACAAAAGGGAATAATCGGCTCGTGCCTTTGACACTCATCCGTGCGAATGATGATATAATGACACACACAGACATACACACACAAAAAACTTTACCTCCTCCTTTTCTTTTTTCCCTCTCCTATCCCCTTTCCCGCTTTATTTCTCTTCTTCCTCCTCCTTCTTTATCTTTCCTCCTGCTTTTATGTCCCTTTTCTTCCTCTTGAGGAGGAACGGTGGATTGAGAATCTGGAAAACCGAGTTCGAATTCCAATCGGATCCATTAATTCACTTACGTGTTAATACCCTTGTCAAAGCTATGAATCCTCATCTCCCTCACTAGCTGTGTGTAAACAGCGGGACAGACTGGATTCTATAGCCTTGGGTGGCAACCGGTCTAGGAGACAGTAACTCTGAATTCAAAACCGGCCTGGAGAGGATTAGGTTCCGTCAAGCTATCTTGCCCAAGAAACACCTCTCCTACTGCGGATGTAATACAATGTGGTGCCCTTAAGACGATTGGTCTGAAATAGGTTCTATTTACTTCGGTTTTCGTATAAAAACTGTTCTTCGTGCAAGCAAAGTAATCCTGTGTGTAGGGATTGGTCTACTATGAGCTCCATCTGGACAACAAAACAATTAACTCGAACAACGACTGCTCTCAGGCCATTTGAACGAAGCAGACGACACCCGTCAGTAGTTAATAGAAAGGGCGGAATAGTTAACCTAGGATAACGCAAGAGTGCAACCTTATTTTATGAAAAAACAAAAAAAAAATATTCCATCTTGGTTGGGAATTGTTCATCCATCTGCCATATTCACGAGTTGCACCTTCAGGATATCATTTATTCTAGTCTTTACAGAAATCTTTTAGTTTGTAAGTGAATGACAAAATGAAAAAAAAAAAAATACAGTATATAAATCTGCTTTTATCAATAAAACCATTATTAGTCTGAAATCCTTTCTTGGAACGAAACGCACAACAAAGAAGTTTTTTGTCATTCACTTGCCCACATTTTTATGCGCAATATCATTTTTGAACGTTGACAATCATGGCTCTCCACAATTCCTATCTTCCGTTGCTCCAAGCAATGTATCCTTTTTTTTTTAACTACCTACCCACTTCCTGATTTGCCATTCATTTACAAAATATTGTTAAGTACGTTACTCGCTGCTTCCCCCTCTCCCCCTCTCTCCCTCTCTCTCTCCCTCTCTCTCTTATCTTCAATATGTATATGTGAGTGTCAAATTTTCCAAGCACTCTTTCTCCATTATGTGTCCCAGAAATTTCAGCTTTCTCGTTCTGATTCTAAGTGTCCTTTTCGTTTTCAGTTTTCTTAAAACGTCATCGTTGCTCCCATGACCCGTTCATGGTATTTTCAGCATTCTTTTGTAGGACCTCGTCTTTGTTGCTTCAAATTTCTTTTTCATCAGTCAGGAAATTGTCCAGCATTCACGGTCATATAGGCGAATACATATAACATAGTAGTTCAGGACTGATTTTTTTTTGTATTTAACGTAATTTTCCTGTTTCTTAATACTTTGTATAACTTTTTAAAGGTATCTTTCGCTATACCAATGCGCCTTCGGATTTCGGTGTCACATTTTGCGTCGTCTGTTAAAATACTTCCAAAATAGTTAAATTTTTGTCTGTGCATGTTTGATTCGTAACTTGCATTTTGGGTTGTTCCTCCTTTTAATGGCGATGCATTCTGTCTCTTCTTATCGAATATATATATATATATATATATATATATATATATATATATATATATATATATATATATATATAACTTGGATTGATTTTAAATGTGAATTAAGTTTAAGCGTCTAATGATTTTTTCTTTTTCTTTCAGATTTAACAACTTAATTCTTTGGCAATTTCAACCCTGGAAAGATTAACAATCAATGTTGGCCAGACAAATCGCGAAGAACGCGAAATGCATTTCTGTTTGAATGTCCATTTTCGTAATAGGCTTCGATAACTTTAACAGGGCCAGATTATCCACGACTTCGAGTACAATACTCAAAAATACAATATATATATATATATATATATATATATATATATATATATATATATATATATATGTGTGTGTGTGTGTGTGTGTGTGTGTGTGTGTTTTGTATAGTATTGTATTTTTACAATTTTCGAATAAAGCGTTGAGTATTGTACTCGAAGTCGTGGATAATCTGCCTGAAGATTATATATATAACATATAACCTTCAGGCAGATATATATATATATATATATATATATATATATATATATATATATATATATATATAATTTTAAACGTTATTTTTAATGGATACTCATATTTGAGTAAATGTTTCGTTTATTAATCAGTATATTTATTTTCGTCTATCGGCCTGAATATTCGAGAAATCCTATTAAAGAAAAAACATGTGCTTTTCAGCAGGATTCAAACCTGCTATCGCTATGTGGAGAAGGAAACCCTCATTAGATTCGATGTGCCTTAACCGACTCGGCCACGTGCCTTTAAACGAAATCCTTCTCATATTAAATTCCCTGACATTTTCATATCAGTTCAGTTTCGTATCCAAACATAAACAAAGTAATCTTCTTAAGCAATGGAATTTATTTAGCAATCTGATAGATTTTTTTTTTATCACATTAAATGTTATTTTTAGCGGATACTCGTATTTGAGTAGACGCTCCATTTATTCATTAAACACTATATTTATTTATTTTCGTCTACCGGCCTGAATCTTCGAGAGATTTTATTAAATAAAAAATATGCGTTCTCCGGCGGGATCTTTCAGAATTTTTAGTGAAAAATAAAATAAAACGTCCTGGGAGAATGGAACTGTATAATGGCTTCGATTGTCAGAAAGTAATGGAACAAAATGATACATTGTTCAATAAATTTAATGTTAAAAAAATATTAGTTTTTATTTTTTATTCATAGACCAAATGAAATTTTTAGTCACTTTTTTTCTTTTTTTTTTCTTTTGCAGCCATGTCCCTTCAAAAACATAGGCGATCATGTTTCTCCAAAGATTCCTCTTTGTTTATTAACTGTGAATTGATATGGGAGAGACAGTGGAATATTTTCCGAACCCCTTCTTCTAGACGCTACCACCCAAGACTAGAGAGTCTAGTCTACCCTTCTATTTACCCCATAGGTGGGGGGAAGAAGAGATAGATACATATTTTCTTTCTTAAGGCGAAAGTAAACGTAACAGCTAGGCGGGAGTTTGAACTCAGTTCGCCGATTCCACTTTCCGCATTGATAACTATTACACTACCCGCACATCACGTAATAGTGATACTGATGTCAGCTGTAATGCGTCCATGTTTGATAAACCAAATATGTAACAGACAACAAAATTTGCATAAAATAATGAGAAAAATTCATAAAAAACAAAAACAGAAGTTGCATGGGCAAGGTGGAATGAACACCAGATGTTTATTACTGTATTTAGAAGTTAATTTATTATTATTTTAATTAGTTGTCACCTGATAGTAGTGGCTAATTAAAATATATATTTTCTTTTTTATGACAATTTGGTTAAATTATTTGCAAGCTATTGTATAGCATTAGATAGTTATATAATTTGATTTCAGTTATCTCCCTTGTTTTGTCTTGATTACGAGTTTACTTTTCTGCTATGGAAAGTGACAATGATCTATGTTCTACTGAAGATATTAACTAGACTGCTTCCTAATTTCATACAGCATGTCACATCAAGCAATCATTCACCAACGAGTATATAACTACTAAATGGTGCATTCATTAGTCTTCCCACGTGACAAGGCATATTGGACAATGTCTGTCGCCATTTTGAATAATATAGGATTTATTCATTGGAGATTTAACCAGCTTTTTGAAACAATTTTCCAGGACT